TCGTGCCCGAGCCGGTCGCGAGGAAACGGACCGGTGACGTCCATGGCAATGGAGAGACCGGGTTCCCGTGGGATAGGCATCGGGTGTAACTCGCCATAGGGATTGCGGTTGCGGGGTTTGCTGTGTCGGCAAACTTCGCACGAGTCGCAATACCGAGTGACATCAGTAATGAGGTTGGGCCATCGGAATCGCTGTCGAAGTCGTGCAATAGTGCGGTTGACTTCGAAATGGCCGGCGAGTCGTGAATCATGATACTCGCCAAGGAGGTGAGTCCGAAGACGACGGTCGCGTGGGACACACAATAAGTCCTTGCCTCTCGAGTGGAGGAGCAAGTATCCGTCGGCGATGCGATAGTGGCTGGCCGGCGGGTGATCCGAAGTTAGTTGTGCGTACAGCGTGGCGAAGTCCGGATCAGACTCATATGCCCGGATGAAGTGTCGTTGAAGCTCCTCGTCGAATGCGAAGGCATGATGTGTCATAGCGCAAAGATCGGGTCTTCGCGAGAGTGCATCTGCTGCGCGATTTGAGAGGCCGGGTAGATGTTTCGGTGTGAATTCAAATTGGTCGATGAAGTACATCCATCGTCCGATCGTGCTGCTCACGGTATCCTGCGTCTTGTAGTAGGTCAATGGATTGTTGTCCGTAACCCATGTGAACCTACGACGCCCAAGGAGGAAGTGCCGCCATCGCTTGAGAGCCATGACGAACGCGAGTAGCTCCTTCTTCCTTGCATCATCAAGCGAGTTGATGGGAGGCACTTTGTGGCTGAAATACTCCACAGGGTGCCAGTCGTCGCCGTCGTGCTGTTCCAAGACTGCCCCAATGCCGTAGCCGGAAGCGTCCGTAGTCACTCTCGTCGGCAGGGTGGGGTCATAGATGCTAAGGACGGGTGCCATAAGCATAGTCGTCTTAAGTGCTTGAAATGACCGGCGCGCGTCGTCATCGAATACGAATGGCACCTTTGGCGGCTGTAACCTCGCCATAGGTGCAGCAATCCTGGAGTATCCGATGATGAATCGCTGATAGTAGCCCGCCAACCCCATGAATGAACGAACGTCCGTGGTGTTGGTGGGCTCGGGCCATACTCGTAGGGCCTCGATCTTGTCCGCAAGCGGACGGATGCCTTGCGGCGTCACATAGTGTCCCAAGTACTCCAGCTCCTGCGGCGCGAATTCGCACCCCGGTTGACTTTGTACTTGGCTTGACGTAGCCGCTCCAAAACGGTGCGCAGGTGTTCCACATGCTCCTCCAAACTCCGGCTGTATACCAGGATGTCGTCGAGGTAGATAAGTACGTAACGATCGAGCATGTGTCGGAACTCCGTTGTCATAGCCGCTTGGAAAGTGGCTGGGGCATTCGTAAGGCGAAATGGCATGACCAACCATTCGAAATGCTCATATCGCGTCTTAAACGCGGTCTTGTAGCGATCCTCCTTGCGAATCTCGAGTTGGTGATATCCCGACTTGAGATCGAGCTTGGAGAACTTGGCGCCGCCCAGTCGCTCGAGAAGATCGTCGATGCGTGGGAGAGGGCCGGCGTTCCTTATCGTCTGCGCGTTGAGCTTGC